TTCGGAACTGTGCAGCGGTCACCCGCTTTGTTATCTCAAAAAAAGAAAAAAGCCGTGGGTCTGCAGGTTGCACAGCAACAACAATGGCGTGCGGCCTGGGGGGCCCTAATGCTCGAGTGTGTGTGTGGGTGTGTACATGGGCGGGTGCTTGGGGGTGCATGTAAGTTTATCCTCAGCATGCAGATCATGCACCATATCATCACAACACCTCAGCAGGAAACCAAGCATCTGCGGGTGTCAAGTCAGAAGACAATCCTCAAAGTCGTGCACCCAAATTTTGCTATAGCAGACCCAAATGAAGAGCGCAAGACAGGAAAAGTACAACTGCAAGACAGAAAAAGGACAACGAGACTATTAATGACAGACTCTTTCGTCGGACTTGCACCTACTCATTAGGAGGCTGGACCCTCAACAATCGGCAGAATCCCCATAGTTTTGACTTTTCTAGTCAAGAACTCCTTTAGCCGCTGTTGTACATGGATGGCCAGCAGGCGATATCACAAGCTGCAAGACAAGGGCAAGGTGACAAGGCACTGGACGACAAGCAGCAACAAGGCATATAGGCTGGAGGGCACGGGGCAGGCGGGTGGGCAGACAAACAACAAGGCAAGCAGCAGGGCGACACTATGACCAGCAGACTACAAGGCAGCAACGAGCGAGGCAATGAGGCAGCCAGGCAGTGGCAGGCATGAGGGCAGTGAGGAAACACTGCACAAGGCACAAGCCAGCGAGGCAGAAGGCCTCCTTCCACATGACCTCCTCCCCATCTTCTTCCCCCCCCCACACACACACGCAAAGACACACCCACAAACATGCATCCACACACACCCACACACTTGTTCATCCACACACAAACACCCACGGGTGCATGCCCACCCACCACACATACATGCACACAATTATGTGTATATAACTTCTTTCTGGCTTCTCAGTCTTACTTTCCCGCTTTCTATTCTGTCTGAGTGAGTATCTCTAAGATGTGCCGAATAGTCAATTCCTGTCTGTTTGGAGTGCCTGCAACACTATCAGGGGGCCTGCTGAGTTGGCAATGCCTTTCTGTGTGTGGACTACGTGATGACAGACACTTGCTGACCTGACTCCCTGGCTCCAATGGTGTTGCGAAGCTACAGTCTGTGGGGTTCTGTTTATGGTGTGAGTAGGTGATGGACTGTTTTGGTACGTGTTGGTTGTAGGGACTGCCTTGTCTGTGCTGCCTCCACACCTTCGTTTCCCATCCACTTGCCTACCATCTTCTCCCGAATGGAACGTGCGGTCACGATAGCTGAATTTGGGGCAACTTTCAGTCTAGATACGGCGATAATGACCATACATTCTATCCAGGTGAAGAAGGTAGTATTTCCGTGCTGCTTGCCTTGTCCTTCAATGCTGCTTGCCTGGCTGTCTTGTGCCTTGCGCATTGTTTCCTCTCTGGCTTCATGCCTTGCTGCCTTGTTGCCCTTGCTGCATTTTTCCTCCCGGCCTTTTCGCCTCGTTCCCTTGTCCCTTGCGCGTTGTTTCCTCCCTGCATTCATGCCTTGCTGCCTTGTTGCCCTCGCTGGATTTCGTCTCCCTGCCGTTTGCCTTGCACGTTGTTTCCTCACTGCCTTTCCGTGCTGCTTGCCTTGTTGTTTGGATGCCTTTTGCTTCGGCCTTTTCCCTCACTGCCTTGTGCCTTGTGTATTCTTTCCTCACTGTCTTCCTGTGCTGCTTGCCTTGTTCTTTGGCTGCCTTTGCCTTGCTGCATTTTGGCTCGACTTTTACTACACTGCCTTTTGCCTCCCTGCCTTTTGCCTAGCTTCCTTGTTCCTTGTGTGTTGTTTTCTCACTGCCTGCATGCCTGCTGCTTACAGTGCTCCCCTGCTGTTGGTCTTGTGTGTGTGTGTGTGATGAGAGACGAGACGTCCTGAGAAAAGCCGTGGCGAGTTGCGCGGAAAAAGCGTGACAAGAAACATACCAAACAAATAAATCGTCCGCTTCATATGCTACGACCGAAGTGAAGCTTCATCCCAGGCAAACGGACGCTACAAATCCTAGCATTGAGGATAAACAGACAAGAACCCGGTGACACTAGGCCGAAGGCAGCAGGAGAACAAGCAAGACGTCCCAAGCCAAGCAACAATGCAAAGTCAGCGAAGCAAAGGAAAGCCAGGGGGCAAACAACTAGCCACCCAGGTAAGCAGCGAAGGAAGACAAGGCAGCAGGGGGCAGAAAGCAGCAAAGCAAAAGGTAGTGCAGCAACACACAGTGAGACAACGGATGAAGGGGCACTGAATGACGAGCAACAACAAGGCACCTAAGCTGAAGGGCACGGGGGAGGCAGGCGGGCATACAAACAAAGCAGCGGGCAGCAACCCAGCAGAGCACGAGGCAACGCTGCAGAGGCCACACCGCTGCTCAACGCCAAAGACGACTGCAAGGAACGACATGGCAAGCGGACAAACAGCACAGCAACCGTGCAGTGAAGCACAAGGCAACACAAGCAAGGCAAGCACACTGCAAGGGATGACAGGGCGAGTGGACGAGCAGCACGGCAACCATGCAGTGAAGCACAAGGTAACACCAACAAGGCAACCAAACTACAAGGTACACAAGCAAAGGACACGGAAGGCATGGCTTGAGGATGGGTGGTAAGGCAGCAGAGCAGCGAAGTGCAAGGCAACACCAACAGCACGGCCACACCACAGAGCAAACACAGCAGCTTGCCAAGAACGACCCGCGAAGCAAGCGGGACAGGCAGCAAGGCAGCAGTGGAGCGCAGACAGGGCAGTTCACACATCCAACACGGACCAAAGCTGCACATGACTTACTCACATCACAGGTGAACCCTGCACACTGTTGGTTCCCACCACCCACTGAGCCAGGGAGTCACTCCGACAAACATCCATCATCACCCGTAGGGAAGACAGACATCCCGAGTGAGCAGCCCCCCGAAGAGTGTTGCGGGCACTCCGAATGAGGAATGACCGACTGTTTGGCACTTCTTGAGGGTGCTCAGTTAGGCATACAAAAAATACTTAGAAAAAATGAGAGGAAGGACGGACAACACGAGAAAGCCAGACAGACATAAAACTGATTGTGTGTGTGTGTTAGTGTTAGTGTGTGTGTGTGTGTGTGTGTGTGTGTGTGTGTGTGTGTGT